ATGGACAGTTCAAGCGCACTATTCAGATATTGGAGGATAAGCTTCGTGCATGTGTGATGGAGTTTGGGGTTTCTTGGGATCAGTTCTTGCCCCTTGAGGAGTTTGCCTACAATAACAATTATTAGTTGAGCATTCATATGGCCCCGTATGAGGCTTTGTATGGTAGGCGGTGTCAGTCTCCAGTAGGTTGGTTCGAGCTGGTGGAGGCTAGGCTATTGGGTACAAACTTGGTTCAGGATGCTTTGGAGAAGATTAAGGTGATTCAGGATCGACTTCGTACAGCCCAGTCCAAACAGAAGATTTATGTGGATCAGAAGGTTTGTGATATTGCATTCATGGTTAGGGAGCGGGTCTAGCTTCGGGTTTCACCCATGAAGGTTGTTATGAGGTTCGGGAAGAAGGTCAAGCTGAGCCCAATGTTTATTGGCCCGTTCGAGGTGTTGCGGAGAGTTGGGGAGTTTGTTTACGAGCTTGCCTTGCTTCCTAGTTTAGCAGGGGTTCATCCAGTATTTCATGTTTCTATACTCCAGACGTATCACGGCATTCCATCTCATGTGTTAGATTTCAGCTAAGTCCAATTGGACAAGGACTTGTCCTATGTTGAGGAGTCGGTGGCTATAGTCCTTAAGTGTGAAGTTTGAGTTGTTAGAGTTAACCGTAGTTTGCCCTGTGTGAAGACGACTCCGGAATGGAGTATCGTCGGTTCCAATAGCTCTGTATGGTGATTTTGGTCTTAGGAGCACGTCCAGATGTTGATTCGGAGGTCCGTAGGTCATTTCGACGTTAATTGGCGAAAGTTGAAAAATTAGAGGGTATTTGGAAAGTTTGACCGGGGTGGACTTTTTTATATCGGGGTCGGATTCTGCTTCCGGAAGTTCAAATGTGACTTGTGTGCAAAATTCGAGATCAGTCGGACGTGTTTTGATAGGTTTTTGTGCCGGATGTAGAAGTTAGAAGTCCAAAAATTTATTAAGCTTGAATTGGGGTGTGATTCATGGTTTTAGCATTATTTGATGTGATTTGAAGGCTCGACTAAATTCTTATGATGTTTTAGGACTTGTTGGTATGTTTGGTTGAGGTCCCGAGAGTTTCGAGTGAGTTTCGGATGGTTATCAGATCAATTTTGGACTTGGTGTTGGAGCTGAAGATTGCTGGTGCACTGATATGGTTTCCTTTAGTGCGATTGCATAGCTTGTTATGCGATCGCGAAGGGGGTTTTGGTGGACTGAGGGTTTACTTTATGCGTTCGCAGAGAAGGGAACGCGAATGCGAAGGCTTTGGTTCATAGCGAGTCGCGAACACGTGGTGAATGTTGCGTTCGCGTAGAGGTTTTAGGGGCAGTAGGTCACGCGCGGTTGTGCTTCGCGATCACGTGGCTGAGTTTGGGATCGCATAGGCCTGGGCTTTTCCTTTTTTGCGTTAGCGTGTAGTCAACCGCATTCACGTAGGTCGAATTTCTGGGGCAGCAGAGTTGTGCTTCGCGATCGCGAGGATATTTCTGCGATCGTGATTAAGGGTAAATGGGCAGATTTAAATATTTCAAGATTGAGGGCTTTCCATTTTCTTCATATTTTGAGATAGAGAGCTCGGATTGAGGCGAGAGTTTTAGGTATTTTCAGAGGAAATATTTGGGTAAGGATTCTTGTCTCATTTTTGGTTATATTCCACTAATCTATCATTAATTTCTTGATTTAATTAATAATTTGGGTTGAGAAATTTGGGGGGAAAAGGTGGAAGATCCTTAGGCCGAACTTTGGGGTTTTGATCGAGCTTTTGGTAACGGATTTTAGTAATTTTGGTATGAGTAAACTCGTGGTTGAACAAGTGTTCGAATTTAGTGACTTTTACCCGACTCCGAAAAGTGGGCCCGAGTCGACCTTTTGGGACGATTTTCTAATTTCTTGTTAAAGTCTTGATTTCATTAATTAGATTAGTTTCTTATGATTATAGTTATAGTATGAAATTATTTTTTGCTAGATTTGGGCTATTCGGAGTCGGAAGGTCGAGGAAAAGGCATTCTTATTAACTAATTGAGTTCGATTCGAGGTAAGTGACTTGCCTAACCTTGTGTGGGAGAAATCCCCTTAGGACTTGGCACTGTTGTAACAATTTGTGATATGTGAGTGCCGTGTATGCGAGGTGAAGAGTGCATACATGGGCTAATTGTTGAAAATCCGGATTAACTGAATTATGCTTCTGGGCCGCGGCAAGGGGATTCACAATATATGATATTGAAACACTAAATGAATTTTACCTTATATGTACGGTATAATTTTCCGGTGAAGACGGTTTGGGTGAATCCCTTCCGCCTCTAAATCCTCCCCTGCCTACAAGTTTATAAAATTTAGTATTTCTAGCTAGTAGTTTATTGCATGATAATCCGATAATAATACATAGGATCTATTTGGAAAGCCATCTGGTAATTGAAATTGGTGTATTTTATTTTTTGGTCAAATATCAAAACTTTTATTCAACCAGTAAAGATAATTACAACATCTCTAACTCCTTTGGACTAAAGAGTTAGACTAAAAAAATAGCAAAATATCAGAAAACACTATTATTTACATCTCCATAGTTCCTCTACTACTTATAATATCAACTATTCATAGAGGAAAGCTATTCACTCCTTTTAAAATCTTCTTCCATTTAGTCTTCTGTTGCCCTTTGATATGAAGTTGGAGGACAATGTCACGAATTTTAGTCTTGGTTTCAGTCTTTCTCCCCTGAAATCTACGCATGTTTCTTTCTGTCCATGTATGGTATACCACTGCTGCAATTAGAAATGCCAATATGCTATTACGAGGTCTACCATTCTTTGCTCTTTTTGTCAACCATAAGACTTTCTCTTCCCAAAGTCCAATTTGATGTCTCTCTCCCAACCAGTTGAGTAGTGTACTCCAAATATTCCTTGAGTATTGACATTCAAAAAAGAGATGGGCCATTGTTTCTATTTTTCCACTACTGCACAATACACATCGACTTGCTACCTGTATCCCCCAAGCTGCCAGCCTAGGGTAGTATTACACAACCTAGTAATTACATAGTATTGTAATTATGATAACCTGTTTGTTTGTCATAGTATAATTACAGTGTAATTACAAGTGTATTGTTTGGTTGCATAAGTGTAATTACACAGTTAGATTAAATTCTAAATATAAAATTAATTATTAAAAATAAAAAGTCAAGATTTAACAAATATATGCCTTTATAATAATATTATATTTGACATTTAAGATAGATATTTTTTTCTTGATAATATATTCATTACTAATCATGTATTTATAACTAATATTGTAAAAATAATTGATATATATATTTCAAATTAATTATATTTTACTTTAATCAATTATAAGAACTAAAAGTACATATTTTTTAAGAATATCAAGGACTGCATGTTTGATAAAATGGTTAATATTTATAAATATAATGCCATAACATTACTCAAATATTTTACGAAAAAAAATAATCTATCAACTTTAACTTTAAAATGAACGGCGTGCAATCTGAATTAATAAGTGAATACTACTAAAGCAAATAAAATGGAAGCAAAAATATAACATAAAATTCAAAATCAAAAAAACAATTAACATAATACTCTTATGTAAAATTACAACATAACCTAAAATAATTTTCAACATAATTTAATTAAGTAAATATAATTCAAAAAAAAAAAGAAATAATAAGTCTATAACCTCATTCAATAATTAGATTCTACTTTAATCGCATCACTCATTATATGCTAATTTTTATGAAATAAAGTAATTTGTTACTCCCTCACTTTTCTAATTTTTATGTTATTCTTTTAAATATTTCAAAACTTGACAACATTTACTATTGCATTTAAGTTTCATCATGCTTTTACAATTCATAAAATACAAACATAAAAAAAAGTTTCAAAACAAGAATAATAGCACAACTATGCTAAATAAAGAAAATAAAAATAAAATAAAAATATGAGCAACTATATGGAATCACAAAAAAATAAAGGCTGAAAAATAAAAATATTATTTAAATATTAAAAAGTAATCTGTCATTTTAACATAGTTAAGTTTGCACATAACCTCGTCCAATAATAAGTTCAACTTTAATGACATCACTCATTATAATTCAAGTTTGTGGATGACTTATTCTTTCTAAGATTATGGGGTATAACTTTTTAGAAAAATTAGAATAATAACATAGCTAAATGTAATAAAAAATAAAGAAAAATAATTAAGAAAGAAACAAAATATGAGAAATTATATAGAAACACATGAAGTAAAGGCTGGGAAATGAGAAAAAACAAAATAAAAAATAAATATTGTAAAAACTAATATTTTAGAAAAAAAGAATATAAAAACTTAAAAACTTAAAAAGAAAAAAAAAACAGAAATAAAAAGTAAATTAAAAAGATAAGAAAAGATATTCCAAAAATAACCTTGTAATTACACCATGTAATTACCAGCAATTCTTAGCTCCCACTTGAAAATTTTAGAGTGTAATTACACTCCCTCAATCACACCCAATTACAAAATGAACTATAATTTTTCTGTATTTACGAATAATTTAACTTTAAATTTCTTATTTTTGCTTAATAACATATGAAAAAATTTTGTAGCTATTTTTCCTTAAAAGAAATAGCTACAAAAATTCATCGCATGTTTAAGATGATAAATTTCAAAAGGCATTATTTCTTTCTTAAAATTTTACGCCTAATTAAACTACACCACATAAATTAAATACTCCATCTTCTATTGTGCAGGGGTTTCTCATCTTGCACATTTTCGAAATATAAATGTAAATGGAGCCCTTATAATGCAAAAAATATATACACTGTTAGGGTATAAGAGTTATGTAAATATCTTTTTAGAACTCAAATGTAAATTCTTCACTATCCTCACCTGCCAACTAAATACTGGTCCCTTCAGAAATTAATAGTACCCTTCTATTCAACAGCTATGTACTCAAATCTTACTATAAATAGAGAGCCCAAGAATGCATCAATTTGTCCATCCTTCAATTTCAATTATCATAGCTAAGTTTTAACAAAAGATGGGTTCCAAGGCATTTCTGTTTCTTGGCCTTTGTTTGGCTATTTTTATAATGATAAGCTCTGAGGTTTTAGCTAGGGAGTTGTCTGAGACTTCCACCACCACAGAAGAGGACCGTAAGAATCCTCTCGATCATTATTTGCATAAATGTTCAATTTACAACTTTATGGATTATATACTTTCTACGTAATTCTGTGTTAGGATCACATAATAAGCTAAGAAAGTTAGAAAAATAGAACTGTTAAGAACAATATTCTTATTTTCACAACTGATGCAGCAAAGAAATCCAATAGCAAGAATGAAGTACATGAAGCTCAATATGGCGGTGGAGGATACCCTAGCGGTGGCGGTGGATACTCTTGCTGCGGTGGCAGATATCCTGGCGGGGACCGTGGTGGTGGTGAATACATGGGCGGCTCTAAGGCTTTGGACACTGAGGCAATTGCCTTAGGCCCCCAAAATTTTGAAACCCTAGATTTATTTGATATTCTAATGGTTATTGTTGGTATTATTTTTATTATTATTATGGTTAATATTATTATTAGCGCATTGCGCGGAGAATATTTTGTAATAACAAGTTTAACAACATACCCAGTATTATCCCACATCATGGGGTCTGGGGAGGGTAGTGTGGACGCAGACCTTACCTCTAACCTGGTGGAAAATATTTTGTAGTATACACTACAAGAAAGAAGCCATTTGCCAACAAAAAAGTTTTGTTGCCATAAATCAAATGTTGTTTCTAAAAGTAGTTTTGGCAACAACAAAAAAGTTATTGCACGTCGTGGCAATAAACGTCGATGGGAAAAGTATTTGCAACAACCAACAATAGTGTTGCAAAAGATAACTTAACGCAACAAAATTTACTGTTGCCTCAAATTATATTTTGGTGGTAAAAAGCCATGTAAATGTGGCTTATGAGAACATTTAACAACAAAAATTATTTGTGATGACCCAAAATGTCATCTTTAAATTTAATAATTAATTATGTATTCTAAGACATCAAAAATCACTATTTATCATTCTTCGACTTGCGTGCGCAGTTCATAAAATTTTTGAAAAGTTTTTATGTGAAAAATGAATTAAAATATGAATTAGAGCTTTAAAACTCAATTGAGTTGATTTTGGTCAACATTTTGAGCAAACGGACTTGGATCAATATTTTGACAGTTCCGGTAGGTCCGTGTCGTGATTTGGGACTTGGGCGTATGACCGGAATCAAATTTCGATGTCCCTAGCCCAAGATATGGAATTTTGATAAAAAAATTAAAAGTTTAAGTTCAAATAGTGACCGCGTGTCGAATTATGTGGAAACAACCCCGGAATAGAATTTTGATAATTCTAACCGCTCCGTATGGTGATTTTGGACTTAGGAGCACGATAGAAATTTTATTTGGAAGTCCGTAGTGAAATTAGGCTTGAAATGGCTAAAATAGGAAGTTAAGGTTTGGAAGTTTGACCGGGGTGTTGACTCTTTGATATCAGGGTCGGAATCCAGTTTTAAAATTTTTGATAGCTCTGTTATATCATTTATGACTTGTGTGCAAAATTTGAGGTCAATCGGACTTGATTTGATAGGTTTCGACATCGAATGTAGAAATTGGAAATTCTTAAGTTTCATTAAGCTTAAATTGGGGTGTAATTTGTGCTTTTAGTGTTGTTTGATGGGATTTGAGGTTTCAAATAAGTTCGTATGATGTTTTAGGACTTGTTGGTGTATTTGGTTGAGGTCCCGAGGGCCTTGGGCGAGTTTCGGATGGTTAACGCATCAAAAGTTGGACTTAAAACAGCTGCTGCAATTTTTCTCTTCTGCTAAAAATTTTGGGCTGTGATCGAGCCCAAGATCGAGGCAGCACATGATCGAAGCCATGATCGAGCCCCATGATCGAAACCATGATCGAGCCCCATGATCGAAGCCCCAGGATCGAAGCCCCAGGATCGAAGGCCAGGATCGAGGGACATGATCGAGGGCCATGATCAAGTGTAACGACCCGGCCAGTCATTTTGAGAATTTAACTCCCATCCGCCGGCATAAGGCCCTGAGCAACTTCATATTATGTATATTGACTTGCGTGCGTGGTTGATTTCAGTTACCGGATGATTTGGAGTGATTTGGGATACTTAGTCCCTAAAACGGAAGCTTAAGTCTTAGAATTTTGACCGTAGTCGAAACTATGTGAAGACGACTCTGGAATGGAGTTCTGTCGGTTCCGTTAGCTCCGTTGGGTGATTTTGGACTTAGGAGCGTGTCCGGCCTGTGAATCTGAGGTCTATAGGTGATTTAGGCTTGAAATGGCGAAAGTCGAATTTTTGAAGATTTGGACCAGAAGTGGACTTTTTGATATCGGGGTCGAAATGCGATTCTGATAGTTGAAAGAGCTCCGTTATGTTAATTGGGACTTGCTTGCAAAATTTGACGTTATTCCGGGTTGATTTGATAGGTTTCGGCACGGGTTTTTGAAGTTGGAAGATTGGAAAATTTATAAGTTCGATTCATGGTGCGATTCGTAGTTTTGACGTTGTTTGATGTGATTTGAGACCTCGAGCGAGTCTGTATTAGGGGATGAAACTTATTGGTATGCTTGGACGAGGTCCCAAGGGTCTCGGGTGTGTTTCAGACGAGTTTCAGATGTTTTTCATGGTTTTGAACAGGTCTGGTCCTGGTGTTTTCGCACCTGCGACGCTTGGAGCGCAGGTGCGGCTACGCTTCTGCGTGAGCCTGGTCGCTTCTGCGATCCTTGAGGCTTGGGACCTTGCTCTCTTACGCAGGTGCGAAGGCCGCTTCCGCAGTTCCTCGATCGCATATGCGAAGAAGCTCCCTTCTGCGTTCCACCTTTCACTTCTTCGGTGCCGCTGGTGCGACTGAAAATCTGCAGATGCGGTTCTAGGCCTGGCCAACTGAGTTCGCAGATGCGGACTCTTTCTTGCAAATGCGAGTGCGCATGTGCGCCTCCTAGTCCGCAGATGAGGAAATCCTAGCAGAATCATTTAAGCCGAGGGTTTGGCCATTTTCTTCATATTTTGAGTTTTAGACTTCGGTTTTGGAGCTTCCTTGCGGTTTTTTCAAGCAAATTGATTGGGTAAGTATTCTTCACCTAGAATTTATTTATTTCCATGATTCTATCTTTATTTGTATCATTTAATTTATGTTTTGAGTTGAGGAAAATGGTGGTTTTTGAAGACAATTTTCAAAATAAAAAATCATGATTTGAGGGACGAAATGGTATCGGAATTTAATAATTTTTGTATGGTTGGACTCATATCAGAATGGGTGTTCGGATTTTGTAAAATTTGTCGGGTTCCAAAGTGCGGGCCCGGGGGTCGACTTTTGGACCGATTTTTAGATTATGATAAAGATTGAGACTTTATAATTCCGGAATAGTCTCTTATGAGTTTTATTTGTGCTTTGAAGTTATTTTGATTAGATTTGAGCCGTCCGGAGGTCATTTCACCCGAGAAGTTTATTTTTGAGTATCGGTCTGTCTTCTTTGAGGTTAGTATCCTGCCTAACCTTGTGTGGGGGATTTTTCCTTAGGATTTGAGTCTTTTATGTTGATTGTAGTCCATGTACGTGAGGTGATGACTGCGTACTCGGACTTGTTTGTGGAAAGTTGGCCTTTTAGGGTTCTTAGGTCCTTATATTCACTGAGTATGAAGTTGTTCTTGATATGATTAAGTTCCTATTTACTAGTTTCAGCTCTACATGCTTTAATTTCAATTAATTGCCTCAGGATTTACTCTTATTGCCTATTTGACTCTTATTTGACTTAACTGAAGATTTTACCTCTCCTATTGTCATGCTATATTTTCATAACTGCTTATCTTTAATTGGAATTATTATTATTATCTCATCCTATAATTATTCATTCTTAATTGAGGTTATGATTATCTTTCCGCTGCTTATCCTTAATTGAGTTGTTGGATATCCTTTGTAATTTCTCAACCTTAAATGAAGTTTAGATATACTATATATTAGTCGATTTATTTTATTTGGAATTATTTTACTCGTGTTAGCTTCCCTGTTGTTGAAATATATATTGTGGGATTGTTGCTACATATTAGTTTTCCCTTGTTGAGCTGACTTAGCATTCTTTACTGTGGTTATTTCTTGCGAATTGGTTCTACCGTTTCTTGTGATTTAAAGTTCTTGAGTTGATTTACTTGTTGTACTTGTATTATTGCCATTGTTATTGTTGTACTTGTTGTGATGATGCACGGGGTTTCTGCTGTGCTATTGTTACTATTGATATTTGCACAAGCGGCGTGACAAAGAGGGATATATATATGTGTGTGTGTGTGTGTGTGGGTTGCGCATGTAGCGAGACAAGGTGGGGACATTGTTATGCACGTGTGGCGAAACAAGGCGGGCACTTACTTTATTATTGCATACGTGGCGAGACAAGGTGGGCTGTGTTAGGGATTGATTTGTGATGACTTGTGGCCTGGGGGCATTCTTGTTGTTAATATTTGTGTAGTGGTATACGTACCTGTGTGAGCTTTATCTTGTGAAAGCTGTGAGACAATATTCTACGTGATGTCCGTTCTTTTTCCTTGTGCTTATTTGCTGATACAGAATATGGTAGGACACTTGCACAAGCATACACGTAGTTAAGCACTCTTATCGGATAAGAGGTGTTCTTGATATTGTTGAGCATAGATGCTTACCCTTGTTTACTTGCCTTCTATGTGAGAATGGCTCTATTGGCACGTTAGTAGTCAATGCGGTTATGAGGTGTTATGAAGGCACATGATGCCAAGTGTTAAGGTTCAGGTTTTGAGGCCCGTGAGTTGTGAATTGTCCGAGGTTCGGTACCTCGTGGAGTTGTTGGCTAAAACCTGATGCAAAAGCGGTTATAGTTGCTGACTTATTACTTTTCCTTGTTGTATTGGTGATTCCGGATTTAGGTTGTATTCCATTCACTTTGTCTGTGTCATTTTCATCATATTCCGCTGGTACTTGTTGTTTCTTTCTTTAATGCCATTACTGTATTGTGAACCATATTGCATAGTCCTTATGTAGACATCATACTTTTGTTCATATAATGTACCCGTTTAGTTTATTAGACTAGTCGGTGTCTTGACTGTTCCTCGTCACTAATCTACCGAGGTTAGTCTTGATACTTACTGGGCACCGCTGTGGTGTGCTTATGCTACTCTTCTGCACATTTCTTTTGTGCAAATCCAAGTATTTGTTCGTTAGCTAGCTGTGTGGACTGTTGCTGCGGAGACTCAAGGTAAACCTGCCACTGCGTTTGCAGGCTTTAGAGTCACCTTCAAGTTTTCGTTTTGCATTGTTTATTCTTATTTCTGGTTAGTTGTATTTAGAAGTTCTCTAGCAAGCACTCTGTAGAGCTTATGACTTGTACTACCGGTTTTGGAAATTGTAAGAGATCTCTATTTAACTTGTTAGATGTTATTCAAATTGTTGTTTCAATTAATGTTAGGTTTACCTAGTCCCTAAGACTAGGTGCCATCATGATACCAAACGGAGGGAAAACTGGGTCGTGACAAGTTGGTATCAGAGCTCTAGGTTCATAGGTGCTACAATTCATAAACGAGTTTAGTAGAGTCTTGCAGATCGGTATGGAGACGTCTGTACTTATTTTCAAGAGGCTACAGAACTATTAGGACTGTCTCTCTTCTTTCATTTCTATCGTGCGAGTTCATTGATCTCAAAGTTTAAACTTTTA